TTAAAAAAAAGTTCAATGAAAAAGCAAAATCTCAGTCCCCAGAGGGTAGGATGTGTTGCATTGTACTGCCGTGCAATTTTTCAGCATCGATGCATCGGGTAGATACACAGGTTGCTAAAAATATTGTTTTTATTCTATTCTGGCGGTGAAGCCTGCAGCCCTGTGCAATGGGGCCTCCGGATAACGCACGGCAGTCATTGTGTTCATCAGCGGCGCCCGCCCGCCCCCCTTTTGTGGATGTTAAAGGTCCCCGTGACATTCTTGAAAATAAAAGACCACTGTCTGCCAGCGTCACCAATGTATACAAGGACGTAAAATAAATATTGGATATTTTCCCGAAATAAAAAGCAGGACCACCGGGTAGACAATGAACATACTCCCGATAGTATCTGCCTTGTCTAAGAATTGACGTGGCAGAAATTACGCTGGGTATATCTGTGTGTGTGTAATGAATGAATGGAATTTCATGAAATGATAAATAAATGGCATTTAATTAAATGAAAAATAAATGGAAATGAGTACTATAAAAAAAAACTTTTTTTTAAAACACGCTTTAATTAAATGTACCCTACTAGTAATGGAAGAACTCCACGACTCCAGGAAGTGGCCACGAAGCTTGCCACAATGTAAGGGGCCATGGTGATTTACAGCCAACGTGAGTTGAGCGTGGACAATTAGAGCCAAGGCGAAACATAACATATAAAAAAGATTGTTTAAAAATATGTTTTTATTTTTAATGATAGAATATAGTATTGTCATCAGTATGACATAAGTATACCAAGTTTGCAGTCGATACCCTATTGGGAAGTGGGTTAAAATTGAGTTACAAGATTTGAGGATACGACAACAACGACAACAACAACAGACAATGAGTTAAATAAAAGCGTGTAATAAAAAATAGGTAATTTTCATGCTGTTGATGGCTTTAAGCCAGTGATGGAAATTCATCATTCCTGTGACAGGGTCCTACATAAATAAAAACTGCATATGCTACATTGGTAAACCATGCCATTTAAGCCTGGAAAGCGAAATAAATAAATTAGATGTCATCAGCAGCCATTGTCTATCCACTGCTGGAATTAGGCTCCCTCACGTCATCGCCAAAACATACTTGCTTGTCACACCGATGGCTGCGCAGTGTCGATGCGCAATGGGTTACTGAGCGTCGTCTGTTTTGTTACTTTTCCACGTTACGATCAACCATCCAAATCTCTTTGCGTTACGTTCTGGTTTTCAGGAATGCATCCTGTGCATATTATTATTTTAATCTTCAAACAATTGCAATCAATAACCATTAAACTGATTTACACAAAAAAAACAAAAGCATCAATAATATTTTACAATCATCTGTCTTCGTAGTGAAGACACTCTGGCGTTCTCTGAATCATGCCAGCTCACTCAACAAAGTTTATTATGAACGTTAATATTTGGTATTTGTTTGTTTGCTGAAAAAGTGTGGCTTTGTGAGATTTTGTGCCATCTTGACATTAATGTCTCACCCTCCAGAAAAAAAAGTCCGGTCACATTCCTCCGATTCCCTGTCTGTCAAAGGGCGGTTTCGTTTTGTTTTGAATTTGGTAAGAAAAAATGTGAGTTCATAAAATTATTAAAATTCAAATGGAATAGTTTACACTGTACATTATATAAGAATGTGCGCAAAAGTAATGTAAATTTCAAAACTATGTTTTTATTTTGTTAAGGCAAATACCCCAATTATATACCATTCTGAAGCGAAGTAAAATCCGAGACTGCCAGTTTAAACAACAACTCCAACAGGTGTTGAAGCGACCAATGAAAATGCCATTTCGTTTTAAAACAAAAAAATCACATTTCCTGGCCCCAAACCAGTGGAGTCGGAATCTCTCCAACAAAAACGTTGTGTAAAACAACCCGTAATAACCTCCAGCATCAAACACCCTTTCTCTCTCCACCGATGTATTTGAGCCACTGTCATTTATATCTTCCAGGCCATTAATACGGGCAAATTAGCCAAACTGAACTTTGCCATTGCCCTTCCAGTGAAAGGACCAGAAACAAACAAAAAAATGCAGGCCATCTGCTCCTTGACGGACAGGCAGCTGTAAGCTTGTGACAGGCCGAGGAGTTATAGGGCATCGGCCCCAGGCGACAGACTAACGAAACCTCACGAAGGTCACGGGGGGGGTCACTTTGGGTCAACGCTGACCACTTGGGTCACAAACACTGTTTTCCAAAGGATGTCAAATCAGCCACCGAGTTTTAATCGCTTCACATCCGACAACATGTGGCTGCAATTTGTGTGCGCGCGTTTGTCGTGAGCAGAGGCGCAGTGGATAGTGCACTGCGCTTACAATCCCAGTAACTGCGCGCATCAGGGGGCCTCCTTTAGGTCATCTCAGCCTTGTTAATTGAATGCAGTCAAAATCATGAGGTTGAACATTACATTTGCCGTTGGGGAGTGACTCGACTGCTCATACGTGCGTATTTGATCAATGAAGTACCACTTTGAAAGGAAGTCAACGGTCGTCGTTCAATGAATATAACGGGGCTTGCAGAGTAATGTGGAATTTCCACCACTGGTTCAGGGTCAGCAAATGTAAAAGAGCACCCACCCGATGCTAATTGGAACCCCAAGGCATTGTGACCAGCTTTCACTGCGGGTAACTGGAATCAGAACCCAATACATGCAAGGGTTTGCATATTTGTTTTATTATCACCGACTTAGTTAAAACAATTACATACGTTGGAACACAGGAACCACTCGATGCCAAGGGCATGTCAATTCCACACTGTGAGCCGCTGGCTCAACTCCATCTTATGGGAATTTTGACTTCGTACTTCATATGGAAACAATTTGTGACTATTTAGTTGAGTAAAGTGCACACACACACACAAAATGTACATACCTATCTGACGGCCGAGGGAAGGAAAAAACAACCATCGGCGAGTATTTGGGAACACAGAGCACGCAGCAGCTGTTGAACATTAACCTCTAGGCATGAACTGTCACTAATTGTGACCACGCGTTGTTAACGTACACACACACACACACAGGGCAGCTTCAGGCCTGAATCACCGCGCAATTCCGTCGCGTTAAGGTTCACAATCAGCGCTGCTCTGGCCGGCGACGTGATCGTCTCTGGCGATTGGAAACCCCTCTGTACGTTTCGGTGGAGAACGTACATTAGATATTAACGCAATAATTTGCAGCCGTTTGTCAATCAGTGCCATCGGTGCCATCATGTGAGTCGATTTTTTTAACCAGCATCAGAATCTTTATTTATCCTGGAGAAATCCGATGAGCTATGAAGCTCATTTTCACAGATGTCCAGTCGGAGTGGGAGGAAGAGGAGGAGGAAGAGGGTAGGGGGGGCGGCAATTTGCTCACTGGTGTCATGCAAAAGTAGGCCTGTGTTGTTGTGCTCATGATTAACGGGGCCCCGCCAAACGGCATCCTGTCCCGTGCCTTCGGGAACCCCTGGGCCACCGAGACGATCGGAGCGTGGTGGTTGGTGAAGGGGCGGCTGAACAGCGGTTCCGATATCGCGCACCGCTGATGCTTGCCATCGCCGGGAGATTGAATTAACTCGGGCTACCAGGTTTAGAGCTCAGTGTGAAATCGTTGCACCGCTGTTTAACCTCGAGATTACCTTGCTCTGAACGGCAGTCAGGTAGACACACAGTGTGGGGAGGGCTTTGTCCGACAGTGAGTTGATGCAAGTGCTGCATATGTATACGTGTTTTGATTTGAAGCTTTCGTGACTGCAGGAATCCCATACTCTTTGGTTCTTTCGGTAAAGTCACGTTAGAATTTAACAAACAAATCACGACGTTTCGATCGCAACACCACTTGTGTTGCGATCGAAACGTCGTAATTTGTTTTATTTTATTTCTCACTATGTGACTTTACCGATAGAACCAAAGAGTATGTATACGTGTGTTGTAACGAAGGGCCTAAAAACCAACCAGAGTTACCATTTCTTAGGGGGTTATTTTTTTCCCGAAACATAGATTACTCCGTATTAATTTGGACTGAGACCGTTTCCGAGAAAGACTTCTGTTGGCATGAGCTGCATCCCGCAGACAGCGCGACTGCAAGAGTAAAATGCCAGTTTTAAGCACTTACAAATGACGCTGCACGTTCAACGGTTAGAATTAAACAAAATACAGAGCTGAGAAGAAAACTGGAGAATGTGATGAGGAAAAGTATTTAAATCGGCCATTCTTCACCATAAATCAAATTAAATACTCCGGGCAATATGGGAATGTTTAAAATCACTTGTTTAATAAAGTGAGAGCAACGATGGATAGACTGGTCCCGACCATGGTAATGTGGAATTTCCACCACTTGTTAAGGCCCACCACATGCTCATTTGTGCAGGAAGACATGATCTGTATTATTGCTGCTGTGCCTCTGTCCTCATCGTTCACATCACACGAAACAGAAAAGCAGGCAATGTGTCCCTTCATCGATGTGCCTCTCTACATGAAAAAAATAATGAAAGTATTTTTCAAGCAACCCATCGGGCCCACGGCGTTCTGGGAGTGTTTAACTTCAGCGGCATTGATCCAGTACAAGCAAACTCTGGTCCAGTTTTGACATACAGCATCTCATCAGCAGATTCAGGCCTGCCCAAATCGGAACTGATGGACTACCAGATGCCAGAAGCAAGGATCCTTTCGTGAAGATGTAACTATCATTTTAAAGTTGAGCTTGGTTCATCAAGATTATATCGTAAGTGCGTGGATCATTTATCACCACCACCAGCACCACCCCGACAACATTTGCCGCTAAGTGGCAGTGACGTCACCACAGCACTTTTGCCAGGCTAGATGTACTTTGAGGCCTCGTGAAGCGTTGAAAGCTTGCTGGCAGGAGGTCAAGGTACAGATCCAGGTGTTATTGGTTCACCGAGAACGACTGGCATAAGCACCACACCTGTGTTCCCCACTGTATCCAGCCCGGCGCTCCGCTCGTCGTCGCGAGCGTCGCTCCGGCCGTGCCCGCCGGTGGCACTTACCGACGATCATGACGTTGAACTCCAGCCCTTGCTTCATGGCTTTCCGTCTCATCTGCTCCAGCACCGCGTCGATGCCCACGTAGCCGAAGAGCTCCACGCCGATGCCCTTCCACGGGGGGCGCGGCAGCAGCGCCGGTTCGCCGGGGGCCACCCCGCCATCCCCGCCCGGCGGCTCCGTCGCCCTGGGGGGCCCGCTAGGCAGCTCCGTCGAGCCGAACCCGTTCCTCGTGGCGCGCGGCGTGAGCTCGCCTCCCCCCTCCCGCTCGCTCATGGCCTGCGACTGGCTCCCGAAGGAAATGACTCCTGGGAAGCAGAGAGACGGCAAATTGCGTGAGTTCTCGTAATGGTCATCGTCATCGTCGTCGCTTAATATTTAAGCAGCGCCTTCCGTGCGGCACATCTCGAGGTGCCCTGTTGGTAACCCCCCCCCCCACCAGCTGGCCCTGTAAGATAAACAGCACCAACTGCCACGTGGTCACGGGTCTGCCAGCAAGACGTGAAGAAGGGAAGTAATAAAATAATAAAAATAAAACATAATAAAATAAAATAATTCTCACGACGTTTCGGCCACAACGCAAGCAGCCGTCCTCATGTGAAGAATGAAACACCACCAAGCTTGGAGCGTATATTTAAGCTGGTTTGACAAAATAATTTGCATATCAAGATATGCAAATTATTTTGTCAAGGCGCTCTTCTTCCCACCTCCCCCCTCCAACCCAGCTTAAATATACGCTCCAAGCTTGGTGGTGTTTCATTCTTCACCTGAGGACGGCTGCTTGCGTTGTGGCCGAAACGTCGTGAGAATTATTTTATTTTATTATGTTTTATTTTTATTATTTTATTACTTCCCTTCTACGTGACTTTACCGAAAGAACCAAGAAGATGAATCCCTGCAGTCACGAAAGCTTTAAATCGAAATTTAATGGTTCCAAGTTGGACAATGACCCCGGGCGCGCCTGAGATGGCCTACTCTTTATCTAAAAACGTCACGGGAACTTCAACGCCCACTCCGAAGCAAGCGGCGCGTATCCCATTGCTGATGCACCCACAGTTTTGACCAGGCCGGCCGCTAGGCCCGAACCCCCGCGAAACCCTGCAACGAACGCCAGCGCGGGGTAATATCATTCCCAGATACTGCGCAGACGCCATGGGTTCAAAGGCAAGGTTTCACGCCACCGGCAATTAAACCGGATTCTAGAATGTGTAAGCCACACTAGACGCCGAATGCCAAGGCCTCTCCAACAGTCACACCGGGGGAACACTCGTCAACGATCCCGGCAATAGCTGGAGAAATGTCCCAAGTCGTTTGTTTTAAACGGGCACCTTGTTTTAAAGAGGAGCGCCTTGTTTTACAAACACCGTCCATGTTGTGGCCAAGTGATGCTCCAGTCCGAGCACCCGACTCGCAATCAAAACAAAGAACGGATCAAGATCAAGATGTCATCACGGCAAAAGCCATTGACGCCACCACACTTCACAAACGCGTTCAACCTTCTCCCAGATACCGCCGCAGCAACTGCTGCACGGTAGACTCACAATCGATAGCTTGTCAATTAAAATCCTAGTTGAGGAGGTTGCTTAGAAGAGCAATCACATCATGCCGCTTCCTTTGGAAAGACTGACTCCCACTACCAGAGGAATGTGGAATGTCCACCTATGGTTCAGGGCCACCAGTGAAGAGAATTAAGCTATATAACTATTTTTCTTAAGCAACCCGGCCACAAATGACAGTTCAACAAAGTGGCTTATTATGTTGAAACGTATCACAGTCAAATACTCTAAACGCATATATTTCTAAATATGGAGGGGAAAAACCAGAAGGTCCGGAGAAAAATTCACACGGCCACGGGGAGAGACACATGCAAAATCCAAATAAACAGGCATCACACACTATGAGACCTCCTTTACCAGTGGCAACATATAGTAATAGGTTTTTACCCTTTCAACTGGTACAAAAACTGACACCTTTATACAATTTCGATTTAAAGCTTTCGTGACTGCGGGGATTCACCTTTATGCAAGGCATCATGTTTGCAATAACCACAACACAAGCAGTCAAAATGCAAACAAAAATAAACAACTCTGATGATGACAATGATATGCACTGTCCTTGAAGTTGATTGGTCCACACCCGAGACAGCTTTTCTTAGAGCCTAGTCTCCATTGGTGTTGGACCAGTTGACGCCAAAAGGCGTACAACTCAAAGACAGCGCGCTATCAGAGTATTGAGAGCTCGGGGTAAGCATTTACACTATGAGACCTCCTTCACCAGTGGCAAAATATAGTAATAGGTTTCTACCCTTTCAACTGGTACAAAAACTGACACCTTTATACAAGGCAGTTTTTGTACCAGTTGAAAGGGTAAAAACCTATTACTAAACAGGCATCAGGTCGGGGATCGAACCCACGCCCGCCTGTATACCAGGCGAAGGAGTTAACATCTTGCCACCGCGGCACCCCAAAGCACAGCCTGATGCACATTCAGAGCACAGCGACACTTTGACTCGCGTTTCTGAATGCGTGCTGTATGCACCGCGAGCCCCTAATGAATGGCTGTCACACTCGAAGAGCCGTTGCATGCATCGCACAGTTGTTTGGCCTCGTTTATCCCCACCCAGCATGTGCCAGGGGAAGCGATACGCCTGCAAGTGTTCGACGAAAAGACCTCCCAACAGATGCCGCTTTGTTTGGGTGGGATGGAGCTATCTGTCGCCGGTAAGCCAGCACGGCCCCGCTTGTATCTGCCCAATTTAGCAAGTCCCATCTGTTCCCCGGCCAAGTGACATAAACGAGCCCCGTAGTCTATTTTGTAGGGTTCTGTAGATAAAAAAACAACTCGGTTTTAGTATCCATTAAGAGAGAGAAAGAGCAGCATTAAACGTTTTGTTTTGTATAAACGGCCCCATTATTTGTGTCTGGCTGCCTCTCGCAAGGATTGCGTCGGCCGCTCTGTGTACGACGTTTTCGAGTTGCTAGGTTATAAGTACCGAGCTGTAGTAGTGGTTGTAACACATTCCTGCGGAGGGAGCTGGTAGGAACGTTGGGTTGCTCGGTCAATGGCCAGGGTCAACGGCGGCGTGGTGTATTCCGCAAATATGCCCGACTGTGAAGGCGGGCACAAACCGGCGTGAGTAGGTTAAACGTTGAGTTTTATAAGGGCACCACGGGGTGACCAGCCCCTCCCCACCCACCCCCTCCCAGCCCCACCCTCCCCACCCAGCCCCTCCCCACCCTCCCCACCCAGCCCCTCACCACCCTCCCCACCCAGCCCCTCCCCACCCTCCCCTCCCCACCCAGCCCCACCGAGCCCCTCCCCACCCCCCCCTCCCCACCCAGCCCCTCCCTGCACGACGGACACAATAATCCCCTGTGGGCTGGTGTAACCAGGAGGTTCCTACCAGTATAATATATTCATTACAGCACCGTGTCAATACAACGCTGGGTCAAGATCTCCACGCACCATGTTGGCTGAGGGTAGTTGTTAAGTTAACACCGTTGTACAATGCATCCAACAACCTGCGGTCGATTCTGGGCCACAGGTGTCATCATCTTCTTAGTACGGCTGACGGTGGTGTAGAGCAGCGACTGTCATTCTACATAGAGGTGGTTGTAGCCGGATAATTGCGTTAGGAGCAGCGGAGTGGCGTGTCGCTGGAGTGCCTCCTCCGTTTTTGTGAATCGGGCATCGAGTCAGAGTGGCCACAGTCGTCGCGCACAGAGTGCTGAGTTATTAAATTATCCATTTTGCATTATGATCATCATCATTCTCATCGAAGTATCCGCATCTGCTGCTGCTGCTGCCACAGTTTGTGTGCGGAGGCGGTTTCGGGTGAGCTGGGGATAGTTGTGGAAGATGGAAGCCAGGGATCTTGTGGGTCGGGTCGTGCAGGGGGAGGTGTTTGTTTCGTGACTTCTCGACGGGTGACGTCGACGGCGATCTGAACAAGTGCTAGGAACTCATGGAGCCTTCCCCCCAAGGCCGCGATGAACGGTAATAATAATAATAGTTCAATTTGTAACGCGCGCAAATTTGCAGACGTAGTGGCCGCAACTCAGAGGCGCGGAGCCAAGCTCAGAGTCGCTCGAAAGCATGATTGCAGAAGTGAGTTTTTAAATGTCTCTTGAAGGAGGCGATTGAGGTGATGCTGCGAATGTGCAGAGGGATGATATCGTTCCAGACTGTTGGGGCTGCCACCGAGAAGCGGCGCATAGACACGATGACCATCCTGGATCTTGGTATCAAGAGGAGGTCGTGAGTCGCGCTGCGCAGGCATCTGCCGTGTGCTGAGCTGCAAGTTGTCAATAATGAAGAAAGGTACGGCGGGCAGGCGGATATGAAGGCATTGTGGCAGAGGCACGGTAAAGTATGGTCAAACACAAGCCTCACGACTGACACGGCGTGTCTAGGCCGTCATTTAACAGTGCCTCGAAATTGTTTATTTCTATTATTATTACTTTAACAGTCATGATGGTAAAATTTTTATAAAATACTGTACAACAGAATGGCTGATGCAACGCTTGCTGGAGACAGCCGGACAACAACAATGGGGGTGTTTGTCTCAACAGCCATATCAGTTTGGCCATGGCCAAACGGGGAATACAGGCAGCAACATTATTGTCTGAACACGAATCGAGCAAGGCCAGCCAGGCGCTCTCCCTGGGGACATGTACAGATATATTCCTCTCCATCCGTCCAGCCTCCATGCTCCCCCTCTCTTCCTCCCTCGCCCTGTACTTCCTCCAGCCTTCCCCCCCCCCCCCCCCGCTACCCCCACCACCCTCGTTCTCTCTTGCCAGCGTAGGCATCGGGTGAGTGACCTGATCGGTCGACAAGAATTCCTGAAGACAAGAAAGTGTCTGTGGACATCCTGAAGAGGCACGAGATAATTTCTATAACATTATCTTTGGGACAGTGTCCTTAAATTGTTGTGCACCAGCCAAGATGTGAGATATGTACGATTTGCAACTGAAGTTGAGTCACATGTAGCTCTGTTGTAAGTAGATATTTAGATACGGAATGTTTACATTTTAATTGATCTCATAGAAACAGACTCAAAACACACAACTAGGGCCTTTAAAAAATGGTTCATATTGTTATAATTATGCATTTTAAGTCACAATCCAAAGAATATTTTATTAGATAAACTCTGCTTTAGTGGTGTTTGGTCACAGGATTCTACATGGAACAGTGGTGAGAATTCTGGAATGACATCTGGGGTTGAATCTGGGCAGCTGCTTGTGAATAAGCCAGGTTCTCAAGTGCCAGCGAGTTAATGGTCACAGCACGGCCACCGTCGTAATTA